AGAAAAGAGAAAAGAGAAAAGAGAAAAGAGAAAAGAGAAAAGAGAAAAAAGAAACAGATAGTGAAAAATTGTTATTTCTGGGAATGCAAATTTAGACATACACACACACGTACACACACCTCTTTGGCTCCACTGCTCACACAACCACACTATTCATGTAAACAATAGATGTACATGTCTCTGCTTGCTCAGATGTGCACTGAATTGTTCATGCAGAAAATAGAAAAGCTTCTATTTTAAGGGCAAAAGGAGCACATTTTCTAAGCTAACAAAATTCCACAGCTCAGATTATTTTTAATGCCTTCTGTGTGCTCTTATTCAAGTGATATAGGCAAAGTGGTGTAGATCCAATTATACAACATTATTGAAGTAGCGCTTGCTACTTCACTTCAGAGCCACTCACTGTCATAATTCTGCAACAGCAGCCTTATTTACAAATTTCAGACTGTGTTTTCCAGTCCAACTGAAGGAATATAGAGTGATGCTACTGTTGTAGGGAATTATAAACTATAAGTACAGCCAACAAAGTTATTTTCTTACAGAAGAAATCAGACAGATCATCCTTCAGATGCAATTCAAATCTACCTCAGTAACCTCACATTTACCTCTCCCTTTCTACCCTGTTTTCTAGATGGGGAAAGCCTGAAAAGTAGTGAGGAAAAATCACTAAGTCACAGGAAGATATTTTACTTACAATTGCTTAGAAGGCAGATTCTTAACTGAGATTTAGAATGTTAAGTGGAAGTGGTAGAAGAAAAAGGATCTCCCAAAGATAGGATTTCACAGGATTGCTTAAAAAAAAAAAAAACCTCCCAATTTCATTTACCTTTAATCTCTGTCATAACCAACGTACATCTTTAAATCTGCATTTATGGATTTAAGCTAAGCAAGTAAATGAAAGTGATTGTTTCACTTTCTCTAAGAGAGGTCGCAACTCTAATTAAAAGCCCCAATTAAGAACTTCATTTGCATATACCCGTTTCTAGCCACAAGGCAAGTAACATAATTAGATTTTCTGTTCTATATATTCACTGAAAAATGGCCTTTAATATACTGCAACCCAGCACAAAAATGTGCATTTGGGTGAAATTTAAAAGATGATTATGAATAACATGCAAACATTCTACAGGTATAGGCGTATAAGAGGTATGAATAAACCATTTGATTCAGTTTAGGAAGCCCATCCAGAGCTTAGAAAATGGTCCAATCCCATCCAAGTTTTTCTGGACATAATCCAGTACAACCCTATGCCTACATCAGGAAACCATTGAAAAAATGGATCTCTGTTCCCTCATAATCTGGCACAGGAAAACAACCAGGTACTTTTTGTTAATTTGATGTTTGCAGAAAAAATAATAAAATAAAATTGTCCCCAAACAACATTATAAGCACTTTAAAAAAATAAACAAACTTTAAATTGATAATCATACCAAATTTCAGATATATTGGGGGCATAGTGTAAATAGAAGGCTTTTTCTTAAGGAATAGTGAAACCCCTTCTTGAGAGCTTATTGTTAGGAACTGAGGCGTATAAGGGATCATCATTTTTTGCTGTAATAATTGATTGGATCTACCTTTATTTGGATTCTAATGGTGGGACAGAATATTGAAAATATAACTGTGGCAGCAGCTTCTCCTATGGGAACCAGATGGGAACAGGACATCTAGAGATATAAGGATTATCAATCTTAACATCCTGGTCTGTTTAAATCAGTAAGGGAATGACAAGCTCCATGGTTAGGGCAGTTAATTAATTCTTCCTTCTGAGAGGAGCTTGCCTGCACCTGTGTAAAGATGCAGGAATAAAGTCAAATACTAAATAACCTTCCCTTGGCTTGCACGAATTAGGACATTATTGGCCAGTTTCCAAAATACTACTTCTGGCTAAAGTAATCAAGAAGGTTGTAGCCTCTCAACTGTAGACAGGTCTAAGGATACTAGTTATCTGGACCCATTTCACTTGAGTTTTCAGCTGGAATATATTTACAAGAAAACTTTGGTCAGGTTGATGGGTCACTTTTCCCATGAATTGGCTATAAGGAAAGAAGCCCTACTAGTTCTGGACTACTGGTACTTTGGGAAGCATTATTTTGCTATGGTTCGTGTTCTTCCTAGAAAGTGGAGCTAGAGCACTACTGTTTGACACCATGAGCCCTGGGGCATGTCATAAGGGCCAGTTATTATTATGTATTAAATTTATATGCTGCCTGACTCCCAGCTACAATTGTTAAAAATGTTTTAAAAAAAAAACAATCCAGAAACAGTACAAGACAAAAGAACAACGATGGCAAAGAAAACAAACATGGAGGGGAACAAAATAAAAGGAAGAAAGGGGCATCAGTCATCCCTGCCAAAGGCCTGGGTGAAGAGCCATGTCTTCAGGGCCCTTCAAAATTTTGTGGGGAACCTCATTCCAGAGGGTGGGCACTGCTACAGAGAAGGTGCACTTCCAGGGTCCTGGTAGGTGACATTGTTTAATTGATGGAAGCCAGAGTGCACCAACTCTGCCAGATTAAACCAGCCAGGCAGATACTATGGGAGACAGGTGGTCCCTCAAGTAGCCAGGCTCTATAACATGTAGCGTTTTATAGGTAGTGAGTAGCATCTTGAATCACACCTGGAAACAGACCAGCAACCAGTGCAGCTCACGAAGCAGAGGTGTTACGTGGGCATACAAAGGCATGCCTACCACTGCCCATGCCGCTGCATTCTGGGCCAGCTGAAACTTCTGCTCTTGTTCCCCACATGGGGAGATCAATCATAGCTTTGAAGTGAGATGCCATCAGTATGCTGCTAAAGCCTTGTTTTTCAGCTCCTTGCCATTGAAGCAGTCAATTCCTTTGGCTTTTGCTTAAGTTCCAGAATGCACTGGATATGGATGAGTAAGGTGAAATTAAATCCAGGTAAGACAGAGATGCTGATGGTTAATAGGAAACCATTCCATTGGTTTCTCTACTTGGCAGCAGACTTTTTCATCTCTGAATTTAATATTATTTCTCCCCTCCCCTCCCATCTCATCCTCTCCCTGTCATGGTGTTTCAGGTAAATCACAAGTTCTCTTTAGTACAGCTGTTCACCACCACTCTTTCCAACATGCTAGAGAAACAGACTGGAAACAGAGTTGGTTCAGACCTGTCATTTTCACCATTTTATGAGTAAATAAAAATGTGACATAAATTATCCTTTATCCAGGCTGTGGCCAAATCTGATGGACATCTGAGTGCATAATCAATGAGCCATGCACTACAGGGCACAGAAATGGTCATTATTTGAATGCATAAATATTAGCATCAGTAATAAGACTGACCTTTCTCTTCTGATATATATGTTTCACTACCAATATATTCATATGCTTTCTCTATTTTACCTGCTAGAGCAGGGGTAGTGTTTGCTTTGTTTTGATTTGTGAATTAAAAAAAAAATACCTAGGGACATTCGTTTGAAGTTGAAAAATGTTAGGAGCAGGGAGATTCAACTGCCACATCTAGCCTGCTCTATTTTGTTCAAATGCAGCCTGTCTGCACATGGGCACAAACTCTCTCTCACACACATGCACGCACGCACACACACACACACACAGTTATAATAATGTTTTCATACCCCTGGAAGATCTTATTGTTTCACTTCTGACAAGAAAAATAGCCATTATTTGGACATCTTTTAAAGGAATGTCAATGTACATTTCTTTAACTCCATTAAAGTAAACTTTTATTTCAGTTTACCACCTAAGAAAACATGCAACTTGAACAAGGAGAAGCCTTCCTTTTCAAAGGAGGCCCAGTGCTTAAAAATTAATTTCATGCCATACTATGTTTTAGGTGCAAGAGAACAATCTAAAGAAAAACATATACTGTAATACTGAAGAAGTTAAGGTCAAGTTTAAATAGAAAATTAATGCCTTTAAAGAAGAAGCACAAATTAAGGTATTGTTATGTATGTTTTCAAGTGGTCCTTCACCTACAATGCAAACTAAGAAACAGAAATATCATCTTCTCTTTTTCATATATAGACACTCTTTCTTTCTGCTTAAGGATTGCTTTTTATTATTTATTTATTGTGCTGCATATTGCATGCAGCAGGGTTAAAATATAGATAGATCAGAGGAAGAGGT